TTTGATTGTAGTCGGAGTAGGCATCCATGAAGCTGAGCAACTGGTTTCTGGAAGTTGAGTTTACGAGTTGATCAATCCTTGGAAACATAAAGTTATCTTTTAGGCATGGTTTGTTGAGGTCCGTTTAGTCTACACACTTTCCTTTTGCCTTAGTTCTTCTTTGCCACCAAAACAACGTTGCCCAGTCATTATGAGTAGGAGACTTCTTCAATAAAGCCAGTAGCTAGGAGCTTATCAATCTCAGCTTCAATGATTACAATTCACTCCGAAGCGAAATTGCGTCTCTTCTGAGTTATGGGCTTGCTGGCTGTGTTGACATGTAACCGATGGAAGATGATATGCGGATCGATGCCAGACATGTCAGATGGCGACCATACGAATGCATCATTGTTTTTCCTGAGGAAGGTGGTCAGCTCCACTTTTTCTTCTTTGCTAAGGCGAGAGCCGATATGCGTTTTTCTTTCTGGCTTGTCAAGATCAAGATCTATAAGTTCGACGTCTTCTTCGAGCCTCCATCCTTGTTTGGGAGAAGTCTCAGAGCGAACTCTTTCCTCTCGATCTTAGTTCTTTAATTGCTATTAAGGAGTGGCTATTTCTTTTCCCTTCTAGTCTGCTAGACTCACGGGAATGAACTCCACAATCTCCTCTGTCAGTTTTTCCCCTCCTGGTCTGCTCGACTTAAGGAATGAACTGGGCTTGTTTGCTTTCTTTTAGCCCTTGGGCTGAACATCTTCTTACCATTGCCTGATCGATGTTCATCTGCCCGACTCCACCTTCTGAAATTAGGTAGCATACCTTCTGATGTGTAGTAGATGTGATTGCATTGATCTTGCAAATCCATGATCTACCCAAAATTCCATTATAGAGGGAGATTGCAAAGATGATCATAAAAGTTTGAGAGATGATCCCTGGAGGAGAATAGACATCTAGATCTATTGTTCCAATGGTAATTGAAGTTGGTCAATGACCTGGTAGTGGTAGATGTGCTGATCTTGTTCTCCATGCACATCTGTTGGACAACCGAAGTTGCAGTATCTTAGCAGCATTACCTTCGTCTACGTGGATTCGATCGATTATGGCTTGTGCAACTTGGATGTTGATGACTAGGCATCATTATGCGGCAGATCAAGCATGAACAAGTCTTTCTTCTGGAAGCCGATCATAGGATAGTCTTCTACCAGTCGAACGTTGGTTAGTTATTGGGAGATTACAGTAGCCTACTTGATCTTCCTATTTTTCTTATTACTGGTCATCTTGGACTCCTCGGAGTCGGCTAAGGTAGTGTTGATTCTTATGACCTTTTATGGAGGTTCCTTGGCAGCATCATGATCCTCGATTTGTTGAAAAGCTTTCTTGTGAGCCCAAACGAGTGTGAACATTGGTTTGCAAGTTTAATCTCGAACGAACGCTTGTCTTGCTCTAGTCACAATCCTTTGCGGATGTCTCTGACTCGTTAGCTTGCTGATCTACATGTTCCTGCCTTGTGCCTCGCCTACTGGTTTCTGCACGATCTTTATAGGACCTCTCAAATCGCCTGCTTGTACGCTCGCTAGCCTTTCTTCCTCACCGACTGGTCTAAATCTGCAGTTGCAGATCAAGTCAATCTTCCCGAGTAGCTGATTGACTTGGTTATTTTTGTCCTTGAACCTCTTGGTGAACTTTTCGACCTTGTTATTGAGATATGCTTGGCTGCTCCGATAAGCAGAAGAGAATTGTGTGGAGTCGAGTTGATGATGACCTAGGGTTTCTCCAGTGGCGTGAATAGGTTCAACACTTCGGCAGCAAAGGTGGATGTGGCGACACATGCTCCAAAACTGGTCCAAGTAGGGTAGCGGTGGCGGCGGTACCATGGGGACTTGGTGCCGCAAGAGAGTTCGTGGCCGCCATCTTGCTCCTCTTAGTGACACTTTTCACCATGGTTGTTTCGAATGCTTCAAATAGATTTGATAAATGGAAGAAAACGGATTTCCTTATTGAAATTTGTGAGCGCTTCACTTTGAGTATATTTTGAGACTCTCAAGGAAAGCTCCAAAATTTTTGTGGAAATTTCTCACGGGAGAATATTCGTGGATGATTCTTCTCTCTCATATGTTTCCCTACTAGATTAATTGTAAGACAAAGAGCGGTCAACGGAGGACCATTGGTGTGGTGGTAGCTAAGGGCTCTCCCATGCCAAAGTCAATAATATGGTCTAGGAAAATGCAAATAATACTAAAAGAATGGAGATATTTCTGTATGGGTGAATATGTGGCTTGGGAGCCTAGTAGGTAAGAGAGGTAGCGACAGCCTGAGCTGGTCAGCCACGAGTATGAGAGTATAGGAGGATTTCAACTAGAGAGAGAGAGAGAGAGAGAGAGAGAGAGAGAGAGAGAAATTTTAGGGATTTTTCCGAATTAGGAAGAGTTTAGAATTACCTTCTTTGTCTTCTCCTCTTGTTTAAATATCCTTCCATCTTTGTAACCTCTTCTCTTTCCATTTAAGGAGGGAAAAGAGAATTATTCATTTCTTGAATAATTTGATTTGATTCCCTCAATTTAAATGAGTAACTTCCCTATTAAATATATTATTAAACCTGATTTATAGTTTATATAATATATTTCTAAGGTTAATCTCTTTTTCACGTGACGCCTTCTAATTGGACGTGGGATTTATTTGCTCCCACAATACCCATTGCATCATCGTCCCAATAAGCCATAAACCGTTTGAAATTCAAAGAAAAAAACACCACACAAACTCACTGCATCATTGTCCCAGTCTTCCCCCACCCCAGTAACATCAATGTTCCCCTCTCCCTCAACTTCCTTTCTCTACCCCTCTCTGGAAATCCAAAAAAAAAAAAACATTTGTAAAACAAAAAAGATCATAAATGTTCAATTTTGGCTAAGAAAAGAACGAAACATGAGTTTTTTGGGATTTGGGGAAGGGATTTTTGAGATGATGTCGAATTTGAGGGTAGGAAAGGGTGACGGCGGCTTGGGTTCTTTGCTGGGCAGAGGAGGAAAGGAATTTTATTTATTTTATAATTTTTTTTTTTTTTTGTTTTTCTAATCTTTTTGTTATTTTTAATTAGTTTTTAATGTTTCAAAAAAGTGCTTATTAATATTTTAATATATTTAAATTTAGTCCAAACCAATCATATACCAAACACAAGATAAGTGTTATCCAACTTAAGCCAAGCCAAGCCAATTTAAGACAATCCCTAAACATAGTCCATGCCAATTGACAGTCTAGTGGAACAAACGGCCCCTAAGATTACTTGAAATACTTATTTTTTTATTTTATTAATTTTTTTTTTTGTAAATAGCACGAGGTGTCCCCACACTCGAAGGGTGGGATTAATCCCCACTCGGGATTTGACTTGCTCCTGGCCACAAAGCGCTTCCAACGTAACAAAGTACTTTTTTTATTTTTTTGGTTACATTGAGAGGAAATAAATTCATTGAGTTTCGAACCTGGTGTCAAGTAAGGAGGAAGAGGGAGGCCATCACTGTGGTATCTGCTCTCGACATAACAAAGTACTTAAAATACTTCAAAACGTAACATTATGGGCTCAAAACGAACACTAAAACTCAAAATTTCAAAAACTCGATTTTGCCTCTTTTAAGCTTGTGCATGTCAGCTGCTTCATAAACTTAACCACAATCTATAATACATCATACGTACATTAACACCAACTCCAATAAATAAATAAATATATATGTATATATATTTCATTCTATTTCATATAAGTGATATTGAATAAGGGGAAAATTGTTCCTTGGAAATTCATTCAAGTGCGGAAGAAAGTTAATGAAAACAAAACAAGTCATACAATAATATGTAGGGTGGGAAAATGGTAGATCTTTAGTTTAAATCTTTATCGTATGTAAAAAAGAAAAGGGCTTGTCCAATATAGATCCTTGTATTTTCTATTTCCTAGACATATACCCATTACTCTATAAATCTATGTGTAAAACCCAATTTCAAATTTAAATGACCAGTAGGATATAAGAGGTCTTAGTATTTCTATGTTTTTACATCATTGCCACTAAACTTCATATTTTATTT